ACTATGGTTTATTTGTTTTACTAGATGGTTAAAAGTGAGTTGGAGAGTTTTAAGAAGGTTACATTTTTTACATTTATATTTCTCATTTTTATCTTTTCTCGTACGCTTTGTATTCTAAAATATTGAAAGAATTAGAGATCGCGAAAGATTATCCAAAGATTTATGTTTTATTTATTAAGATAAGAAAAGAGTGAGTAGTCTCACTTTAGATATGAAGTATATGTTAGATGGTGAGAATTGCCCTAAACACTAACAGATTATTTATAATATTAAAATATTTACATAAGTGTTGGAAAAAAAAAATTGACCTCCCTCAAACCAAATTTTGGCTTCGTCCCTAAATACAAGTCAACCAATCATTCGTACAGGCTATATTTTAAACTGATATCCATCTTGAAGCCTATTGATATTCACCTAATTCCTTTCTTAATGAGTTCATTATATAATACATGATATCAAATACTAAAATATTTTAAAAAACATTAGACAAGTTTTTTTAATTATATAAAACACTCCAAAGAATAGTTTTATATAAGACAAATATCGTAATTATATAAAACATTAAAAATATAAAATTATTATATATATCCACTAAAATGTACTTATATAAAATTTAAAATTAATTAAAAATCATAATAATATAATAAATATATCAACACAATTTCATGTGCAGGACACGAGTTATTACGCTGATATTAATAAATGAGAAGGATAGAGGGTCAAATTCAGTACCAAAAAAATTCAATAACTCACACCTTTGTTCAACTAACTTAGCTAAATCCTATTAATCCTTACTTCATTTAATTTAATTAAAAAGAAAAAATTATTATTATACCTTTACTCTACACAAAGAAAGTCATTAATTTCAATTATTTAAATTAAAGATTAAGTCATCGATTTATTTATTCTCCTCCAACGTAGAAGAGAAATAAAAATGGGAAAATATATTTTGTTTTTCCCTTCTCCTCCAATTAATTTAATCAAACAAGTTATAGTTGATTACTGAATTGAATGAGTGAGATGTATACATCTCACAAGTCTGGTCTTTGTCCCTATATCTTGTTACTTCTCTTACCAATATTAGTAATACTTTTCCTTTTATAACTTAGATACAAGACTAATCCTCCCTAATTTTATCATTATAACATCCTTACTTGGTAAGAGAATAACTAATTTTTTATTATAAAATAAAAAAGGTGCAACATTATCATTGTTGATAAAAAATAAATAAATAAGTTGAAGGACTATATTTTCCATTTGCAGCATAGTGCGCCAAAAGGACAATGGGGTGCAAACAAATGAATAATCATTACCTATACACGTAGACAACAAAATTCATATATATATATATAT